GGTATCCTCTCATCAGTAGGGGGTGGTGCTCAGTCCACAGGGCTCACTCTCACGCATATGATACTGAGAGACAATTACACAAACCAAACAACTCAACTCTGCCTTACGCTTAAACAATAGGCAATGATTTCAGATCATCAGGCATAATCTCTCTCCTTTAAAAGCTGAGGGAGGAAATGCTTTTTAAATCTGCTGTTTTATAGAGGTCAGAGCTTGACCCATCAGTCAGCTCTTAACTTCACATAAAGTAATACAGAATGTGACTGGATGTCTTACAGCAATGGACTTAAACTAAATTAACTATATCTTATGTTACTATATAATATGTTAGTCATAATATACATATATTTTGTTTCTGTATAAATATCAGGTTTTACAGTGCAAAGGCAGCATAATTAAATTTAAAAATAAACAATAAATATCTATTAAAGTAAAAGCTAAAATTAGCCATATGAATTGTGTGCCAAATTTTCTGAAGACATACTGTGCAATAACTTTTTGTGCCGTTTTTAATGGAAAATCTTGATGTTGGCCTTCACTTATTCAAGGCCTGGCAATGTTAGATTTGTGAAAGAATCATTCTTTTGAGACAAATCTTTTCAATGATTCGGTTGACTTGTTTTACAAAACTGTTCTACAAGATTCAACTCACTGATTCAATCCGGTCATGAGGTGAAGATTATCAATGTATAACTTATAGCATCAGTTCTTTTTAATTATTGCATTATTTCCTAACATGTGCCCCTGAAATGGACTTTTCTACCTTTATGAGGACATTTCTCTTATTTCTAACATATAACATATAGTCTGTCATATGTATGTTTGATTTATATCAATTCAATCAAAATTGAAAAAGCAAACTGAATGTCATTAAAGTGTCTAAACTTAAATAGGCCAAGAATAAAATATAATGAAAATATATAAATGTTAGATAACAATTCTTAGGGGAATCCACATTTTGCAGTTTCATCCTAATTGCTGGTTCATTTCTGAGATTCTGATTAAGATTCTGTCACATGTCAGATCATTCATATTTCCTATAGTGTGATTCTGCCTAACCCAGATCACAATGTGTTTGGATGTTACTGATGGTAAGGACACTATACCAAAAGCCCAATCTTGCACGAATGAAGTGAGGTCAAGAGCACATTTTTATATTCAATACAGTCATACTTGACGCAGCTTGTGCATACTGAAAGGAAAGTTATGAAAGGAGCCCTATTTTAATGTATATGGAGTAAAGATAGACAGTTAATAATGTGCTGTAGCTCAGAGAGGAAATGCAACATGCTGAAAAGAAACTTTATATGACAAACTTTTCAATCACGCCTCATCGGTCCTCCTGTGCCATCTTTAATACAGCTCAGATAATAGCGTTGGTAATTGGTCACAGTGCTCTAGATTGGGAGGAAACATGCCGTGCTATTGTGCCCGTCCCTTTTGTTGTGGTTAAAAAAGGGGGAAAATAAGATGCAATTTAGACACTTTTAAGAGGTGATCATTTCTCCTGTTTTTTTTCCTCTTCTCCGCCAAAATCACAGTGAAATTGCTGCCTCAGGAAGACTGTAATTAAACTCAAAGTGGCTCTCCTCTGAGGCGCACACCAGGCTAAAATTAACAGGGCCCTATTAGCGCTGGGAAGTACAGCGTCATCGTTGGTGAGCGCCTTTGGCAAAAGAAACATCCCAGCAAAGTGACTTGCTGTGAGAATCCTGACAAAATCACAAAGAGCTCAAGCTGCTAATGGTTAGCTGTTTTAACACTAGCTGTGTCAAAGATTTGATTGCTCTTACCGCTAAGTAAAAGTCGCACTGAAGAAATCAAGTGTTACTTAAACTTTTCTTCGAGGTGAGAAAATGGTTCTGAGACATTATAAAGCCCAAATGAACTTCTCTGAAGATCTAAGGTTTATGGTAAACATCTAAAATGGAAGTTTCAAAAAATATTTTGACAGCACTGTGGCCATTATAGAATGTCGGAGTGTCTTAAAAGTGTTTAAAGATTGAAGAATGTCTCGCTGCACTCTGACTCTTGTGGCCTCAGGCAGGATCGGAGGGCAGATCTGCGCATGCTCCTGACAGACCAGAAGCAGGCAGATGTTCGCTGCATTAGAGGCTGTCAGCCTGTCATTTCACCTGTCCGCTTGGCACAATGTCACATCTTTTTACATCTGTTCCTGTGGGACGTGTGTCTATAAAGCCCAGTGCCACATGTAACAGTCAGAAACTCCACAGCTATGCTTTAGTTCTCATGGTGCAGGCCAAACCACTTAGGGTTTAATGACTTTTTAGTGACAATTTGAAAAATATATATTTTTAATTGTGACAAAGACAAATAAGTAAATAAAAACGTCACTGATAGCATAAATGTAAAAAATAGAAAAGAAAAATAAATATTCTTTATTAAAATATTTGACAAATGAGACTCATAATTTTGCATTTGTTTTCTGCTCTCTGCCTCTTTTTTTTTTCTTTTTTTTTTCTCCCATGTGTAGGCTACCAGAGAGTGGTGTGGATATTCATTTCTCAAGGTAATTCTATGTCACTGTCTCCACCAAGAGGTAGTTTTGCTAACAACAGGATACAGCTGGTCGCATAAACCAAAACATGTTTCCTGGTTTATAGCAACCAACCTATATGAGAAATAAGGTCTTAGCTCATGCATTATAATTGCAAAAGGTAAAGTTTTAGTGTTCAAACTGTATTCAATTAAAAGTCATATTTCTACTTTTACTAAGCAAAAGTAAACTTTAATTATTTCTTACCTGATTGATTAAATCCAGAGTTTGGTGGTTTGTTGCACAGGAACCAGTTTCATCACAGCATTGTCAAATATGTAAGGCTCTGAAACCATAATCCGAAAACAGTCAAACATTACATTCAGAAGCAGCCGATTTTGTAGTCGTTTTACAATAGTTGCTTGGAATGTTAACAGTCAGACTAGGTAGTCAAATTGGATATGGATATGGATGACCAATTAGTAAAACACATAAGGCTTTAGGTCAAATAGCGCGTTGTCGTGACTAATGAGAAATTGAAGGTCAATTACACTTTACACTGAAAGTGATTTCATTAAATGCATAAATTTGTGGAAGCGGAATTTAATGGGCTTGTTTGTTCAGTAAGAAAGACAAAAAAGGAAATATTTAAGATATGAAGACCTGAGAAATATGTAATTTGATCTTGGAAGATCCAAATTAAGTTGAGTTAAACGAATGATTTTTTTTTCTTGAAATGTAGCCTAATTGTGTGCAAGTTTTGAAATTGACTTGTTGCCTACCTGAGTTAAGTGCTTACGTATAGTCAGACTAGGTAGTCAAATTGGATATGGATATGGATGACCAATTAGTAAAACACATAAGGCTTTAGGTCAAATAGCGCGTTGTCGTGACTAATGAGAAATTGAAGGTCAATTACACTTTACACTGAAAGTGATTTCATTAAATGCATAAATTTGTGGAAGCGGAATTTAATGGGCTTGTTTGTTCAGTAAGAAAGACAAAAAAGGAAATATTTAAGATATGAAGACCTGAGAAATATGTAATTTGATCTTGGAAGATCCAAATTAAGTTGAGTTAAACGAATGATTTTTTTTTTCTTGAAATGTAGCCTAATTGTGTGCAAGTTTTGAAATTGACTTGTTGCCTACCTGAGTTAAGTGCTTACGTACACGAATGAAGCACAAATAGGCTACTTAAATACTTTAAACTCTTGATTAGATACTATACTGAAATTAAGTCAAAATACAATGAAATATTTTAATAAATAATTACAACAGGCTTGACAGGCAGAAGATAAGCCTGCGAGAATCCTCTGATTTTAAAGACTGGAAACAACTCCACCTGCTGGCTACTTTGAATATTTTCCCATGGTCATTATTGATAGCACCGTTTCCCCACAAAACAATGTTAAGTGAACTGGATAAGCATCCTATTAACAAACATACCCAAACACAAGTCATTAAATGGCTAAAGTGCTCCAGCAGTACTGATAAGACACAACAGTTAACGGTTACCAGAAGAGACAGGAGTCAGTAAAATATGGCTTTATTTAGTCTGGGACACATCTGTGTTACATCAACTTATTAGTTATAAAATGCAAACCATGATTTTAAAATAAAAGCAACACAGCTTTGAAGTTTACTTTGTTTAATGCACGCTTGTCACCTTCAATACTCTCTGATACAAGGACAACAACTGCTAACAAGAATGCGACAAAATATTTTAAACAATATATTTAATTTTTAAGAGTCAGAGGAAATGCAGACACAACAAACGCATGGTAACCACACATGGGGAAAAAAGCAGAAATGGCTAATTAGGACAGCTGGATTAATGCTCCTCATTAAACTAGTCATTATGTTTAACGTCAAACAGCAGCGTAATATTGCACCGTCTGAGATGTTGACCACTATCTAATACTGCAGGAATCAATATACCAGTCCAAATGGACTGTTTAGTTTAAAGTGCACCTCAATGGGGTCTAAAAAACCCGTCTAAAGTGAGACTTAATTTCACATGTCTGATTGGTCTCAAGAGCCATCTAAACTGGAACGGAAAGCTAATACTGTGAATGGGTATTCATTATTTAGATTTTGCCCCTTTACAAGTACACAGATCCTCTGGGTTGCAGGTCCTGGGGTCGGAGGAACATGGGTTACGTGTTACAAACACACACACACACACACACACACACTGTAAAGGGGACAACTATGTTTGTAGCTTTAAGATATAATATCTACAACTCTCTTACATAATTCACAAAACTTTTTTGTTCACACTTTAGCAAACAATTAGTTTTTTAAGGAACACTTCAGGAATTAGTACACATTCAGTTCAGACGTGAACACACACAAAAACTGTCACAGAACAGGCATGGATTGCTCACCCTTCAGAGAGAATAGGAAGAGAACAAGGGCAAAGACAGAGGAAGAGAAAAGTAAATACATAAAAAGTAGTAGAGAACAGTACAAAGTAGATTGAAAGAGTTAACATCAACTTATTAGTTATAAAATACAAACCATGATTTTAAAATAAAAGCAACACAGCTTTGAAGTTTACTTTGTTTAATGCACGCTTGTCACCTTCAATACTCTCTGATACAAGGACAACAACTGCTAACAAGAATGCGACAAAATATTTTAAACAATATATTTAATTTTTAAGAGTCAGAGGAAATGCAGACACAACAAACGCATGGTAACCACACATGGGGAAAAAAGCAGAAATGGCTAATTAGGACAGCTGGATTAATGCTCCTCATTAAACTAGTCATTATGTTTAACGTCAAACAGCAGCGTAATATTGCACCGTCTGAGATGTTGACCACTATCTAATACTGCAGGAATCAATATACCAGTCCAAATGGACTGTTTAGTTTAAAGTGCACCTCAATGGGGTCTAAAAAACCCGTCTAAAGTGAGACTTAATTTCACATGTCTGATTGGTCTCAAGAGCCATCTAAACTGGAACGGAAAGCTAATACTGTGAATGGGTATTCATTATTTAGATTTTGCCCCTTTACAAGTACACAGATCCTCTGGGTTGCAGGTCCTGGGGTCGGAGGAACATGGGTTACGTGTTACAAACACACACACACACACACACACACACTGTAAAGGGGACAACTATGTTTGTAGCTTTAAGATATAATATCTACAACTCTCTTACATAATTCACAAAACTTTTTTGTTCACACTTTAGCAAACAATTAGTTTTTTAAGGAACACTTCAGGAATTAGTACACATTCAGTTCAGACGTGAACACACACAAAAACTGTCACAGAACAGGCATGGATTGCTCACCCTTCAGAGAGAATAGGAAGAGAACAAGGGCAAAGACAGAGGAAGAGAAAAGTAAATACATAAAAAGTAGTAGAGAACAGTACAAAGTAGATTGAAAGAGTTAAAAAGGAGAGTAAAAGACTTGTGGACATATAAAACAGGACAACAGGACGTTTGCTTATGTGCTAATGTTATGCCTTTTCTCATCCCGTTCATTATCGATTTATACACCTTCACTGTAGTGAATATGCTCATTTGGTCTTCTAAAATAAAATGTCTGACATCAACCAACAGTCAGGTTTTTGTTTAAAAACAACTGCCCGAATTGATCAGGCATCAGATTCATCACATTCAGAACAAGTACCACTGAAACGTCTCACACACATTTACATTAGCACCCTTGCACACATACGTTCACACACACAATGTACCAGCACTTTTACTTGTCTACCATAAGAAAAATAATATATATAATCACATATCTAATTTCTGTTATTCTGTTAACGTGAAAAGAAAAGGTGCCATTTCAAAAACTAGTCTATTGTGAGTGTCTTTGACCGCAATAGACAAAATACTGCTAATGTTGTCCTTGTCTATCACAACACTGTCAAATGTTACACAATGCAAGTTGTAAAACAGTTTCTACTTTAGAATTGTATCTACTTTAGTTGTCTCAGTGCTTAAAGCTGTTTATAACAGTTAGTTGTTTTTTTAAATCAAACATCCGGCAGCAATTCTTGCCATGTTTAGTAGCATTTTTGTCTTTATGACAAAAAGGTTTTTTTTATTTTTATTTTTTAATGTGATGATGAGCATGCCAGCAGACTCATCAGAAGCCTTCATCCAATCAAGCCAAGGAATGTATGTTAGAAATAAAGTCACTTTTCACCCAAACTGTAATTCATCATTTAGTAACATTGTTCCAATCCCAGGTGCTGAACTCCATATGCATTACATGGATATGTGGCGTAATCAGTACTTGTCCTCCCATTGAGTAACCGGCTCAGTTAACACTGTTAGGGTGTACTGAACAATATTTTAACAAAACCTTCTTGAGTTCATTCTGCATTGTTAATGAGCTCAAGACGATCCATATCACTGGTGAAGACGGAAGATAAGGATATGGTTCCCTTCAACGGAGAAGCACCAGTTATATCCCGTACACTTTAGACTGGATAGGGCTTAGAGGCAGAAATGCTGCTGTCCTGCTGGTGGGCATCACCTGTCAATCAGCTTGAGTGACAGCAGAGAGGGAGATACAGCCCTGAAGATGATGCAGACCCTCTAAAATTATTTCTGAGATGTGCTAACCTGAGTAAACAAACTTCACACTTTGGTGATTTAGTCATGAACTAGGGGAAAGACTAATGAGTCTTCTGTATTCGACATTAGTTGCAGTTTTAGATTTATACTTTTTTTTCTGCTCGAAAGAACATTTCTAGCCTGTGAACTACAAGGAGTTCAACATTAAAGTCCTCTTAAATATTGCAGGCATGCTTTCTACATTGTTGACATGAGTCATTTTATATCGCTGAGGAATTCGCTTTAATTCCTTTTACATCCTTCATTCAGTAGGTCTTGATAAGAACATTCATTATTCTGCCCTCAAATAACATCTGGTCAATGCTGTGCTAAAATCAAGCACCCACTTCAAAAAAGGACAAATGCCCCTACTAGCATCTGTTCATCTGAGACACCTATACATCTGTCTTTCTGTCTGTCCAACATTCAGCCATTCATTCACCTATGAATAAATGCGCTCTCAATGCCTACGTGTGTCTCTGGGGCTCAGCTGCGACCATTGCCATGGCTACTGCCCCGTCTGGAGGACAGGCCGTGAGGGGTGTAGTGACCGTCAGAGGTCAAGATCAGGCCGGACGCCTCACAGGCCAATGCCAGCTGCCTCAACGTATCCAAAGCATCTATCTTAGCACTTCGCAGGAGGTCGCACTGACCCTAAAAAAAGAGAGACACGAATCACATGAACCGGGTTTGTTATTATGTTACACATCAGTTATTTCTGGTGTATGAATTTGACTGGCTGTTCCAGACAGGCTCACAGTCTGTGCATTAGCGGTGGGGATTTTTCAGTGACTCTTTATGCGGGTTACAGGTGGTGACAAGTGACTGTCTTTATGAGTGAATCATTGAATCACTGAATAATTCATTCAAACCGATTTGTTTAAAAGCACTGATTCATTCAGGAATGAAACAAGTGACTGTCTTTGTGAGTCAGTTACTCAATCATTCACTAAACCAATAAACCACCCTATTTCATAAATCTTATTTTCATACATTTTATTATTTTTTTTTACCTTAAATTTGATTTAAAATGTTATAACTCAATCTGAATATAAACCGATCCCTGCCCTACATTTTTTCTTTTCCAATAATCTGTTACACTTGGATGTATTTCACAATACAGATAAAAAAAGATCTGTCGCTACTTTTATGACGACTTTAAACCTGAAAGAACAGCACAGTATTTCATATACAAGTCACAGAAGCAAAAATTTGTCTGTTGGGAAATGGTCATGAACACAAAAATATTTTTAGACAAAAATATTTTATTAGTGGACCTCAGTGGCGAAAACGAATTAATTAAAAAGTATGTCCTTTTTTAAAGGATATAGAAGATTTATTGACTAAAGCTCTAAAAATACAGTGACTATTAATACTAGCCAAAGAGACTTGGATTTTCATAGCTTTTAATGTCTTTTGTTTGTAGTCCCAAGGTAAATGCTGTTGCATAATCATTTAACCCATAAACTGCGTAAACATCAAATGGAACTGAAACATGTATTTCCAATCAACTAAAAGCACCCAAACCCAGAGAAAGGACCTGCTCATTTCAAAAGTCCACCGCACACGCTGTATTTATAAGGTCAAATGACTTCCATTTGGAAGATAGAATTTCAAAACAACAGAAGCCCTTCTCCCTTTCGTCTAAAACCAGAGTGAAAACATTATCCAAAAATTCAAGGCTGTTTGAGGGAGGGAAAGAGAAGGTCACGCTATTTACCTTCTGCACAGTGATGTTCCAAGCAAAACTTTCCACAGCTTTACTCTGTTTACGGCCTTTCAGATTTTCCTTTTCTACCAACCTGGGCAGATCTTCATGAAACACCATTCCTAAGAGGACATATAATAGAAAACAAACACATGCATAACGTGTATAATTTTCTTCTTTTTTTTCTGGCTTGAGATTTTCAAAATGCCATTAATGGTGCAAATATGCTTCTGCAGGAACTGAGCTGCCAAATTATGGTTGATATGTACCCATTCATCCTCTGGTTTGATAATATTGTGCTTCCTGTGATGAATCTTGGCATGGCCTCTGTAAGCTGCCCTTTCATTCCTAATCTGCTGTGTTGACTACTCGCTCGCTCTCATTTCATCAATATATCCTCATAAGGACATAAAAACAGTATTTTGAACTAAGTGTCTCGGATTTTTGTAATTGGGGGCAAATAATATCTGTCAGGCTAGGAACAGAGGGTGAAGATATTCTAGTATGTGTAGAAAGCATTTACTTTCACATAATGTAACTGCTGTCTGCATCTTTCTTCTGATGATTTTTCTTCGTTTTTGTCAGATCCATTTCTTAAGGTTTTACAGTAGTAACAATAACTGTATAACTGCAGTATTTTGGCAGAAACCATGGTTACCACGGTAAAACCGTAACTTGTCTAATAACTTGTCTGAGCTAAAGCAGTTAACTAATTAATCATAATTAACTAACTAATCATAATTAAGTAGTTCATCTATAGTCAATCTACTCTTTTGAAAAAGTAGTTACTGTGGCTACAGTACAAGCTACTAAAAGTAGTAACTCCATGCAAGGAATGGTAATGATTTTTTTTTAAAAAGATGAATCATTTATTTACATAACACCAGAATGAAAAGAGTCACTAAAACGAATCAGACATCCCAAAGCTACATTATTTGAATACTGCATCAAATAACTAGGTTAAAAAGCTGCACGTCCAATACAATATCACATAACATTGGTATTGTGGTTTGTCGTACTACAAAAACAAATAAGCTTTAGAAAAAAGCTTGTAGCTTGTTACTGGAAAAGCTACACAAACAAAGCCATTGCTAGTGGGGTGAAAGTTGTGTGACGTTTCTAGGGACCCCCAGCTAGTGGTGGGGGGGGCCCACTGTGATTTCACTAAGGGAGCCGCCACTCAATAAACAGGACCAGTGAACCCCATACATTAGCATTGGCTCTGCTGTCATAATACTAGAAAATTTAATTATTAGCATCACTAGTTTAAGTACCTCATCAACACTGGATACTGTATATCATTTCAAAATAACTCCGTGAAGGTATTTCAGCACTCTTCGAGATAAAAGGCAATGTTTCAAAGTGTTGATGGGGACTGTGTGTGTTGTGGATGACAGGATATACTTTGAATGCAAATTTGAGAAATCTGTGAATTGTTTCTCAAGATTTTCACACATCCTCTGGGGCCTGACTGAAACATAATTCGGGTGGAAAGAAAATACAAAGATGATTCATCCTCCACTCACCTTCCTTTTGCACTTGTGCAATTCTCTCATGCACTCCATCTGCATTTTCTATCAGCTGTTTGTTGGCAGAAATCATCTGAAGAAGGATGCAGACAGGTACTATTTTATGTTCTGCTCATATATTTTAATTAAAAAAAAATTTGAAATAAGAAAAAAAAGAAATTAATACTTTCATTCAGCAAGGATGCATTGCATTGACCAAAAGTGACAGTAAAGACATTTACAATGTTACAAAAGGTTGCTATTTCAAATACATGCCATAATCTAAAAAAGACAAAAAAAGCATTGAGTTGCACAACTTTTTTCAACATTGATCATAATAAATGTTTCTTGAGACCAAATCAGCATATTATAATGATTTCTGAAGGATCATGTGACACTAAAGACTGGATTAATGGCTGCTGAAAATTCAGCTTTGCCACTACAGGAATAAATTACATTAAAAAATATATTTAAAAAGTAAGCAGTTATTTTAAAATGTAATTATACTTTATAATATTACTGTTTTACTGCATTAAAACATAAATGCAGCTTTGATGGGCATAAGAGACTTCTTTCAAAAACATGAAAACATTTAATCAATCCCAAATTAGTCAATGGTATTGTTCACACACACGCACACGAGCGCACACACACACACAGTTTATGAATATGGCCAAAACGTGAACCCAAAGGACTAATTTTCTCCAAAAATGACTCTTGTGACCTCACAAGTCTCTTCAAGAATGAGAGACTGCTTCTAATTTTGCATTAAATTCTTCTATGACTTATCCAAGCTAAATTATACATTAATTTTATAGCTCTATACTTTTACTGTATGTAAACTATTGTAAACTCAAACAACTGAGAACTCTATTATGAACTATAAAAAAGAGATCTTTAAGCAATACAATTGTGAGTAGACCCTTGCTGCCCTCTCTCACAGTGAAGATATTTATAAAATGTAGTCCTGCCAGTCAGTGCAGTCTGACTCTCTGGGACTCAAACACACAACAGGATCCAGAGTCAACCCACAGGGAGAGACCGGGAAAGAGGGACCCTACAAAAGGAGAGGAGGAGGATGGTGACTAAAGCCTCAGATGTCTCACTGACTCCGATGTGCCTGTTCTTACTCCCACACACTGTATTTCCATGTTTAATGTGGGATGGCTAAAAAGACAAATGCCATTGTAAAGGCAGGTAATGCAGAGGAGAGGATAGCTGACTGATATAGTAAGATATTAATATTACATATCAATATGATATTGTTTATATTTGCAGCTGTAAATGTTTTAAGAATTGCTTTGTTCACATAAAGAGAAAGGTCTCTCTAGCTTATCATTTAGGAAAAGGAAATCTGTACATTAATGATGCCTCAGAAATTCAGCATAAGCATAAAGTTGGCCTATTATGGTCTATGAAACTGAACCACCAACAGCCCGACAGAAAAACATGGCAATGATGAGTAACATTAAAATGGCCTACATAAATAGGCATCTCTTACCGTGTCATAACCATTTAGCAGTTTACGAGTGGCGTCAGTCAAGTTGCCCAAAGGTTCCAGGCATGGGTAACCTTCCTTCAGAGTGAGTGTGGCACTTGGGGGCCCATCTGGACTCTGCAGCCTCGTGGCCAAGCTCTGGATGCACTGCTTCAGTGTGGCCGTCGGGGGGAGCCCACACTGCTCTTTAAAAGCCACTGTGGCACACTAAAGAGAAAACGTTAACACACAGGCACACACTTGGTTAACACAAATACTTCAGTAAGCCTAAGAGATAAAGGTAAGTAACAATTTGGTAAGCACAAAAAATTGAATGTTAACAAAGAGAAAAGAAACGTGAAATCTGCACTTTTCCAAAAGATTTTATGCTCTTATGCTCATTTTACTTATTTGATAAAAATACAGTAAAACAAATATTGTGAAATTTTATTACAATTTAAAATAATGTTCTTCCAATATATTTTAAAATGTAATTTATTCCCAAGATGGAAAAGCTGAATTTTCAACAGCCATTACTCCAGTTTTCAGAGGCACATGATCCTTCCAATATGCTGATTTAAAGGAGTCATATGATGCTGCTAAAAATAACACTATTTGGTGTATTTGGTGTAATAAAATGTGTTTATGCGGTTCAAAAAACACATTATTTTCCACATACTGTACATTATTGTTTCTCCTCTATGCCCCGCCTTTCTGAAACGCGTCGATTTTTACAAAGCTCATTGGTCTGAAAAGCGAGGTGTGCTGTGATTGGCCAGCTATCCAATGCTTTGTGATTGGCCGAATACCTCAAGCCCGTGACGGAAATGTTACGCCCCTCACATACGGAGCGACGAGACAAAAACATTAAAACCCATTACAAACGAGGCATTTGTTGCATCCAGTGGGGGCATAATTACAGATTATGACTTATACTGTCTTTTTACGCGTTGCGTTGCATTGCATCGCGCCGCGTAAACATAAAACTCTGTCTGCATTTGTGATCGGAGAAATGACAAACAGCAAGTGCTACTCTACTGCCCAAAACTCACGTTTGAATCATCAGTGGCAAATCCTTTAAATGAAAACGTACTTACGTGAGTCAGAACTGCCGGCATTGTAGTCAAACGTTACTCTCCCAGGATCAGTAAACAGTCTTCCATAAAATGTGCTGCACACATCTGGATATTTGGATTGTTGTAAATGCAACTTAACCACTGATTTGTAGTCGTATCCTCTTTTGGAAGACCAAACAAAGTAGTTTCGCTTTCACAACGAAAAACACAGCGGCCTAGCGTGAGGGGAAGCCCCGGCTTAGCGTGCGCTGAGGCCGGGATAGAGTGAGCTGAGGCCGGGCTAGCGTGAGCTGAAGCCCCGGCTTAGCGTGCGCTGAGGTCGGGATAGAGTGAGCTCAGGCGGCGGGGTCGAGAACGGCGCGCCCGGCAGATGCGACGAATGAGCGGCAACCACATGTGACGGACTTTGTCCATGGTGAAAGTTGATGTATTCCCTCAGCGACCAGCACAGATCAGCTCTAGGCATGACGAAGCGGATATCGTCCTCTTTTGGAAGACCAAACAAAGTAGTATCGCTTTCACAATGAAGCACACAGCGTCTTCAGGACATGGCTGCAGTGTCAACAATACTACAGTGAGAATAAAAGTTATGCCTTCTTTCGTTGCATGAACATTTGGGCGGCGTTATGCAAATCTTCCCACATAATGACGTAGATATGTGGGGGCGTGTGAGAACGAGCCGTTTTAAGTAGGTGTGGCTGACTCTGAACTTTTATAAAGAATATCTCTTTGGATTTGAGACTTTAGTCTTTGCAACTTTACAGATCTTCTTTATGCACCAAAAGCTTGTAACACTCCAAAGAGAAAGGAAAAATTGAAATCGCATCATATGACCCCCTTTAAGGCTCAATAAATATTTCTTAATTAAGCAGCAACATTGATCATATTTTTGTTGACATTTTTGTGGAATACTTTTTTTTTCAGAATTCTTTAAAAGATAGAAAGTTCAAAAGAACAGCATTTATTTGAGATTGTAACATTACATATTATATACTTTTCATCAATTTTATGTAACCTTGCTAAATTTATTTTCTTTTAATATTCTAAAAAAAAATGGACCCCAAACTTTTGAATAGTAGAGTACAGAGTACTCAAAGTATACGACCACAACTGCAAGATCTCTAATAGAAGACAAGACAGCTAAGAGTCTGAAAACTTGAAAAATGGTGGCATTTATATTGTTTGACACTGATTGTAATAGGCAAAGCTACTCTCACGAGGCACAGCCAAAATAATGACTTCTTTCCTTTATACAGACAGATAAACCTGTGCAATTTAACTGTTTTCTATGTCCGCATGACTGTCAAAGGCCTCAGCTTAGAGTCTAATCACATTTCAGCTTTTTATCATACATTTCCCTTCATTAAATTGTGGCAGATAGAGAGCTCGTTTCTATTTTCTACCTGACAGAATCACACACCCACAACCATGATTAACAAAGCCATTCGGAGATGTATGTGTGTGTTCAGGGGGCTTCATGTGGGTGATTAGCCTGTATATCTGTTTATTTATATGAGAAAGAAGTCCATAGGGTGTGCTGTGAATAAAGTGGACATTGTGGTGGCTCTGATATATTATACAAGAAAAAGGAATGGAAATGAAAGGACAAAGTGTATGTGTGTATGTAAAGTGGCTCCATAAAATATTTGGACACACAGATAAGAAAATACCAAACCAAGCGGCTTTTAAAGAAAGATAAGTATGCCTTTGGGCTAAATATATCACACAAACAAGTCTGTTATGTTCTGAATAACAAAGCAAGAAATACATACCTGTGGTGTGTGAGGCAACAGATTCATAATTCTACTAAAATTACCAAAAGAACAGATGGTTTTCAGTAATTGCAAAGGTAAGACTAAAGCAATGGTTCAAATAGTTTTTGGGGCCACTGTCTGGTTGTGTGTTTACCTCTGAGATCAGCAGGTTTTGTAAACACAGTAATTATGGATGTGGAGTAGCTCCTCTTCCTCAACACACAACACACTGCGGTTGCATCTGATCCTGGCCCTGTCACCTGACCCCACAGATACTCTACCCTCCATCCTACCTCCCCTTACAGTCACCCATAAATCATACCTTGACTTTCCAGAGTCAGGGTCAGCAGAACTGTGGCGGTGTTGTTTTTTTGTTTGTTTTATTTATTAATTTTTATTTTGCTTGGTTTAATTTCTTGAGCTTGCTTGAAAATTCAGATCAACACATGGTAATGCTAGAAATGTGTATGTTTACATAATTTAGATAAGTTAAACCCCAGAAAAGGCATGTGAACTGAACTTTGCTTTCGCAATGGATGGCCATACTCCAGAGAGGAGGTGTCTGGTTTTTACATGTTCAGATCTGAGACTTGCAATTTCATGTCAGCTGATTATTAAAAGGCTCAGAATCTGTATCAAATGACTGCAACAATTAGTGAGGTCAGAAATCTTCAGGTGAGTGGATTTAGGATGTAAAGCTATTACTTGTGTACACTGTGAGCAAACAAATGTTTAATGAAAAGAAAACAAATATATTCCTCAACTTAATGTCTCACTATAATATCTGTTTTCAGTGTCTGACATGGCCATGTTATTAGTGAGAGACATTTACAAACAACACCAATTATCTGCACGACCCACTGAACAGCACTAAGAGCACTGACAAAAAGCAACTTAATTGTTTTGTTCACTATTTCTAAACCATTACATTTAGACAGCTCTGACTGGGAGAGCCAGCCGTCAATCTGGATGGATCAGTGCTACCCTGTCACTAACGTGGCCTCATCCAACCACAAATATCCATTTAAAAAGTAGCACATTAGTAAACATTTTAAAGCCGCACACATAGAGCATTAAAGAATATAAAATAAAATATTTAGAAATACAATAAAATATATGAATAAATAAATAAAATATGATAGTGGTTTTGCGCAGCTTGTCAGTGAACAACAGCTCTGTGTAGTTAATGCTGCACCCATGTGTAAATATCGCATTCGATTTATCGTGCAGCCCTACTTTAGATTATAGGTCTCTATTTAGAGCATTGAAAACTTTTGAAAACTTATCAGGATGCTTGTCCCCGGCACAACCCCAAGCTTAAAAGGATAGACATTAGTCAGGGTAGCTCCATATAAAATCTTTGACAGAATTGACAACAATGCTGTGACGGATAGTAGTACAATGCATCCAAAGGGCCGTATTGTTATTTAACAACTTACCAATAGGTCAGCTGATGAAACTTCTTTCTAAAAAACTTTCAGCAGTCAAAAAACTTTATAAAGAGTGTGCCATTGTAAAACTGTAAGTCTATCCCTCACAGCGTCGGTTTTATCTGCGTTAAATTCAATATGGCGCCTGACCGGATTAAGGTCTATAGTTCATTTTTTAAAAATTATTTACTCATCCTCATGACTTTTCAAACCCATTAGACTTTGGTTATTCTTCGAAACACAAATTATGACATTTTTAACGAAAAGTAAAAGGTTTCAGTCCCAACACTGAAAGTACAGGTAACCAAAACTTAAGATTTAAACCAAAGATTAAAACCAAAAAGCTCATAAAGGTGTCATTTCAGCTTCAGTGTTGACCAAATGTGATGTGCTCTATCTATAAATGCCGATCATTGTTGAGATGTACATGAAAGCCAATTTTTTTTTTAAAGATCAAGATTTTCTTGATCACACAGCATAATATGGAAAAACCATGCTGGCTGACCAGCACCAAACCGCACTAATCTACATAAACTAACCTGAACCAGAATGCAAATTTCAACTTGTGTAAGCTGGTCTTTTCAGCAGGGTGTTTTAGCTGCCAAGTAGTGAAGAAGTCAAATTGCTAGTATTACTGTTGTCTGAACACGCACCACCTCCCTTACCAGTGCATCCTCTCGCAGGTCTGTAGCTTCTCGCAGAGGTCCGCTGGCTGGGCGGAAAGTGTCATCCAGCACTTTGATTCCCGTGTTACGTAGAGTGACGTACTCTCGTCCACGCCGCACTCCTCTCCTGACGGACAGACCCCTTCTCTGGGTCTTTCCCCCACCTCTGCGGTTAGTGATGGCGATGTATACAAACAGGCTGGCATGGGGCAAAGGGTCTCCAGCGAGGCCCAGCAGGGGCACATTGCGATAACCAGGCTGTAGACACTCAAAAGCGATGGTGTACTGGCCAATGAAGTCATCACCTATATAATCATCATCCAGAACTACGAAACGCAGCAGGGCTAGTTCAGGCATGTTCACCTGAAAAGAGAAAACAGTACATGTATTTTTGGCCTCTTCAGGTGTGCAACATTCTACAGATGCAGCTGTAAGGAGAATTAAATATCTAGGGTGTGTAAACAGACACTTGACACATGAGCAGACATTCTGAAATATGAAGCATGCAAAATGTAGTGCAGACCACTGAGCCAACGTGTCACTGTAACACCGCAGAATATGGTAAATACATGATAATTTGCATAAACTGCATTTCCACAGTCTCATCTATTTAAATATGGAAATATTTTGCATGCACACACAATCATCTGATCATCTGGCTATGTAGGAAAAACACACATTAATAAGCAAGGACACAATTCAACAAAATCATACATCTTGCACAACATGAATAACTGAGGGATTGTTACAGGTTGAAACAACTTACAAAGATGACTGTGTAACTATTGTTAGAGGTTCACATAACTAACAAGCACAGTCACATAGTAAAAGATACATTGAAAATAACATGAAGTATGTATTTCACTGCTTCCTTTGTGTCAGAAAAACAGGAACAATGCCACCTGAGCTTAATATCACTTAAAATACTAATTTGAACAAAAGAAAACATACTGTTATCGAGGTGTATCCATGCATATCACTACATACATATTCATGATATGTAGTGATATGCATGGATATATACGTACACAGTCATGAGCATGCACCAATACACACACAAAGCAAGTGAGACACAAAACAGTTATGTCACACTGAATATGCATATTCGTACTAAGAAAAGGAAAAACGGAGAGAAAGTCTGGCAGGAAAACACAAACAACAAAGATAAAATGCCTCAGCTGGCAGCAGACACCCACACAGACGCCCGGACACAACTTATGCAAGAGAAAATAGTTCAAGACAGGTGTGCAGCATCTCAGAGAACCTGCTTCTGAAATTGCATACATTTGTACACATGAACAAATTTAATGAACTCCACAGACAAAATTGTACTATGATATTACCATGATTTTGTACATGTATCATGGTAATACCATGTTAAGGCCATGGCAGCATGTTGTTCTAATAATCTAAGAGTACCACATAAATACTGTAAATACAATAGTACTTAAATAATTACAGTACAGTACACACATCTAGGTATATAACAAATACATGTATACCCTACAGAGTCATATAAAGACCATTTTATAAAAAAAGATATAAAGCAAATCCAAACGGCTGAATTGCTAGTATTGTTGCAAAAAGCAAGTGTATTAATATATTATCACGCAGCTCTAATCTGTTAAATGCGAGTATTGGACATTAAGTTATTAATTTTTTATCAAACATCATGATTTTCTGTAAAGCTGCTTACAATGCAAATTGTGAAAAGTTCTACACAAATAAGTATGATTTGACTTGTTACTTATCTGTTTAGTGAAAAAGGCCACAGGAAAAGATGCAAAAGCATTCTATCAGATCCCACCAGGGGATGTGAATCTGCTCCTGTGTGTGTGTGTGTTAGTGGGACTCTGATAGGTGTACCCCTCCCATGACTTATAATTGCATGACGTCCTTGAGCTCCAAGCAACAAGAGTCAAACAAATGCAAACAACAAGAGGCACAATCCCAAAGGACAAAATAAGTGCGTGAGAGATATATTTGTGATTTCACTGGATCCTTCTCAAAACCTCCTCTTCAAATAACCATATGGCACAGTCTTTGGTTTAAATTACAATAGCAGGGATTTAAATTTAAAAGCGCTAAGATCAAGGCTCACCCACAATTTTTATCACTGTCTACTTGCAATACAATATGTGTATGATGAAGAAACCAATCCAAAAGCCACATATCTACCTTTATACTAAACATGGAAGTACAGTGTCTGGAGATTCATATTGAAACACTATTGTTGTTTTCTAGCTTTACCAAGGATTTTTAACGTAACCAAAAAGGGACAACAAGCAAACAGAAGCAGGGAGATGTCATGATGGTACTCACTGTTTTTTTTAAGAAACTTACAGATAATAGCTCTACTAATGGATTCTGGTTCAATACATGACAATAGTGTGTTTAGTGAGTGCTTGAACATCTCTCTGCTTGTTGACAGAAACTAGTATTCTTGACAAAAATATATTTTTTAACCTTCAAAAATTGCTAGCAAGACAATTTCCTCAAAACACACACTAACTCTCCTCAGATGAACGTTGTAAAAATGTACGGATTGGTTTCAGCAGTCTTGCTTCACACCCAGAGAGCTGCATGTTTGTGTCCACTTCGTTTCACTGGAAATCACAGGTAAAACAACCCCTCTCCTGCACCAAGAAACTACCTTAATCTGCATCTCATAATTAAAGCGGTCTAAAATTGCCATGCAATCGTAATTAGGCCCTGCTAAAAGAAAGGTCACATCATTTAAAAAATAAAATGCTGGAAGAAACTGGCACCCACTTACAGAGCAGTGTAATGAGTTATCTAGACTGTAGGTTTGAACTACAATCCAGGGCAAGAGCATTAGTGTTAGCAGGCCATTAATTTTGGATGTAGATCTTTCCTAATTACAGATCTAAGAAGAGTTGTGTTAAGTTGCACACACTTGCGTCATCCAAGTGCATCCATGAGGACAGCCTACATCCATTAACCTCATTCTGGTTGTGGATCACAGGTCAGTACTCTATACATTCATATTATTTATGTATGTGACATTTCTGTTATAGTTGCCAGCTCAGGTTAATGCAAGAAATGAAAGCAAATGGAGCAACCAATGAGAGCTCACCTTTCATAAACTTGCTGTATTCTATCAGGATATGTTTATGTCTAACCATACAGAGAGAAAATCTACATGCCTCCAAAAAGCATTCAAAACTTTCAAAACAAAACTCAAGATTCTGTCTAAAATAAGCACTAACAGCAGAATTCGCTTTCAGCCATTTTGTTGTCCTCTGAAATCTGTGAATGCTTAGCCCAGGCAGTGCCAATAATATTTTTGTTACAGAAACACAAGCCTGTCAGTGGTGTTGTCACCTAACGGTTGCAAAATATAACATGTTAACGTATGTTAGTTTGTCACCTTGCTAAGGGAGGTCAATGAGTATGTGTGTTAGGATGTATGATAGGCCATAGCTGAGCTCAGTTGGAATTGTGTTAATATTGCATGTAGCAGGTAATCAGTGTGAGACAGGGGCGTTTCTAGGATTTTAAAACATCTGGGGCTGAGGCCAAAACATCAGGGGCTAATTAGGGGGGAGGGGTAAGCAAGAAAAACTTGCATGTTTTGCAAGAACCTTTTTATGTAATAGTTTAATAATAAACACAAATTAACAAAGATAATATGCAACTTTATACAATTTCATTCAGTCCCATCTTTTTCCTGTCTTGTTACTAAAAAGGTGCTCATTAAATTCATTACTTTTTCTCTCTCACACAGGTACTCCACACAATGTTCTCTTTTACAGCTTGTGTGTGAAACAGTGCCATGTACATTTTTTTATTATTATTTTACAATCATCTATATTATACTTGCACCTTTTATTTCATTTCTCATTTATGCTAGCACTACTGTCTCATTCTTTCTTTCTTTTTATAGCCTCTCCTCCCTTCTCTGATTGTTCTCTCATCTCTCATAACTCTCTTCTGTCTTGCTGCTTGTATCTTGTCTACTTCATGCTCTTGGTGACTTTTTTATCCTTCTTTACAATCTATCTTTCTGTGTTCTCTATTTCTTTGAGGGTGGAATCATCAGAGAGTATCTCCGAGACTTGACTTGAGCAAAACGGTCAATTACCATGCTAGTATTTATAGTGCTGAGAATTCCTTTTTCAATTGACAGAACAGCCAAATGGTTGAGTCTCTTCTGGCCCATTGTTCGCCTAAGCCATGTATGTAGACGACGCAATGCACTAAATGACCGCTCACAGCTGGAACGGCTGACCGGTATTGTAAGAGCTGCTTGAAAAACCAAGCTCAGGGTAGGAAACATGTCGGGATCAAGAAGTTTGTAAGCACTGGCCATGTCAGAGACAGCACCCTCTTTCTTCTTTTTTGCCAGGAACTGTTTCGCTACCAGAATTTCCTCTTTACAAAGTTGGATTTTGTAATGTGCTGCAATGAGGTTTAGAGATTCCTCAGTAAGAAAGTCATCAGCTGCTGGATTGCAAGCTTGAATGCCCTTCATGAGCTTTTCCCCAACACCAGAAAATCTGTTGCTCAGCTTACTTATCATGCGGTCAAGACATGGTTACAAAAGATGATGTTTAAGTTGGTTGCCAGTATCACATGGAGCCCTTGTGCTCAAAGTGGAATCCACTGCGTAATTATTCATCCGCCTCTGCTTACGGCGGGGACCAGACAGGATCTCTGAGATGTTATTGGACTCGCAAATTACTTTTGTCTCCTTGTAGAGCTGTTCTGCTGTTTCTTCACTGCTCCGCATTAAGGTCAGTGTTTCAAGAACAGCATCTTTGTAGAGTGTTGCTTGTGCCAGGTCCACAGATTCTTTCTGGAGATACTTATGGAGCCCCTCTGTAGCAGATAGCAAACTCTTGAACATTACAAAGCATGTACACACTAGAAAACCTGGACAGTCTTGACAGCAGCCCAATTGCTATGGGTGTAGCAACTTTTTCCAGGCATCTTAACAAAGCAGTCAGATTTTCAAGCACAGCTTTGACTGAGTTGAGCTGGCATTCCCATCTAGTTTTAGAGAGCTGGACAAATTCACTGTTCTCTAAACCTAGTTGTTTCTGTGTGTCATGAAATGCTTGATGATTGACCATTGATGCACTAAAGAAGGAATACACATTCCCTAATGTTTCAAAAAAGTAATCTGCCTCTGGTAAAGCCCTACAAGTGTGACAAAGCACCAAATTCAGTTCATGGGCATAACAATGCACGTAAACTGCTTCAGGGTGCTTCTCGTGTTTGTATGGGGAGAGAGAGCAACCACAAATCTCGGATTGCACCAGCCAGTCGTTGTATGGGCCGACCACCGAATGGGTTCAGAAGCATACAGTATGTGCATATTTGCACTCAGACTGTGATTTCTGTCTTTTCACAGACAAGTAATCCTCCTCGCTGTCACTACAATGACATAGGGAAATAATTAATTTATACCATTAATTCATAAATGTTTCTCTTTTTTATCACACAGACTGCACGTCTCCCCTCTCATGCTCTTGCGCCACCACACTTTGAAAACCCCTGCTTTATTCCACTTCGTTTTTGGTCTGGTTTGACCAGCTAACAGTGTAATTGTGACCCATACGTGAACAGGACCAGAGGGTAAAATTTAATTTGAGATGTTTTTCAATATACGAGTTTATGTTTGTAGAATATATTATTATTTGAATATGAGTGTGTGTTTTGTATGGATAATTTGAAAAAGCTAAAAGGTACCTTTCTCTGTTATTGATTCTTTTTTTTTGAGTCGCCATTGCCTTGATCTGTCGTCCACTCTGTGCTACACTGACCGTTGTTTTCTGACCATTTTTTTTTTATTGTTGTCACGCTCAAGGGCTGTAAAATCGTTTAGGATTAAGTCACTTGGTGAATGAGAGAGTGAGTGAGTGAGTGAGTGAGTGAGTGAGTGAGTGAGTGAGTGGAGAGAGATGTCAGTCAAAATTGCTTACTGTAAACAGCGACAGTGGCCAACTAAAACGATCAACATTTACTTAATTTCTCATTTTCTCACATTTCCTCTGAACTCCTTGGTAAAATTCCTGGGATTGAAGGACAAAACATTCGGGGCTAGATTAAAATCATTCAGGGCTTGACCCCTTGTGTGAGACATGGCAAAGTAGCTGCTTCATGGGTTGCAGCATTCTGATTAAGACACATGAGAATGGACACTGCCCTCAAGACTGATACACACAAGAGAAGCTTAAAATAACCTTGCACGTCACTGACCACACCACAGAACACAGGGTCAAAAACCTGTGTCATGTAAAACATCTAATGTCTCAACGCTTAATCTCAAGTTTTATATCAGCTTTTATTATAAATTATCTCCAAAATAATGATTTTATATTTGTTGAATAATTATTTACATTGAGTAGACCTAGAAAATGTTTTTCTTTCAGATGTTCTGCCGATCATTTGTTTTGTGTGTGTACATTCATTGTTCATTCATTTTACCATGGTAAAAGGGTAGAGGACAATAGGGCCTTTCGCACCGCTTTAGTTCTAGAACTAAATGTACAGTACTAAAGTACTGGGACAATTTTGCGCGAACAATTTACCAGTACCATTTAAAGGGTTGTATTCGCACCGACAGTGTACGTAAGCCGGTCGACAGACAGTGACGTCATTTTGTGCCACAACAGAAGGATGGAGGACGCTGTGATCGGAGCTGTGTTTTTGTTGTCTCACAGGTTTCACAATAATGGACAAGAAATGTCGACGTATAGGCTACATAAAGCGATTGAAAGAACGGAAAGGAGGACTAAGAATCTCCAATGAAAAACTGGCAGTGCTACATTTGTTACAAGTGCCTGCACTTCAGCGTCCGTCCATCTATCGCTGTTCTCCATACTTGCGAAATAAGTCGACACAATGTTTACAGTATGTTTACACAGCGTTTTAAATGAGGGTGAGGGCGTTTTCGTATGCATTTGGCCAATCAGTGTCTACTTGCGTCACGGGTAGTACCAGTTGTGCTGGTTAGACCCTGCTCCGGAGTAGGAGCTAATTTGGTTCTCGAAAAAGGCAGTCCGGTACTAAAAAAGCACCCAGTTCCGGTGGTGCGAAAACGGCAAAAAGTGGGTAGTTCCACAATTAGTTCTGGTACTATGAAAAGGTTCTTGTGGTATGAAAAGCCCTAATGGCTACTTCACAACCAATCTGAAAGTTCGCTGCAACTGCCACTAGGGAGCAAAATGCAAAAACCATATGCAAATGTCAGAGATAGTGGAAAGGCCAGCTTTAGTTTCAATAAAGTCTTCCAACATCACATATGAAATCAATTAGATTTATATTCATGATATGGCAGTCTCGCTCTCTCACCTGGAACTCAAACGTCTCATCAAACAGTGGATCATCCTGGTTCTGGGCAGCAGTGCGAGTTCTCTGCTCTGTGCAGTCTGCAGGCACTCCGTGCAGCTCCAGCACCACATATGGGTCGATGACCTCACCTTTGGCACCAGAGCCTTGTGGCTTGGGTAGACTATGGGCACTAATGACCTTCACCCTGAGTGTTTGTGCTGGTACACCAGGCACGCAGCCTTGTGATTGGGCACTAAAGTAGGAAACCTCCTCTCGCATTACTGCTGGACGAAGAACATACCCACACCCACCGTTCTGCATAAAACGACCACGGGTCAGGTCTAGCATGGCACCTGGCGTCTGCTGGTTGAGTGCCACCAGTTGCACACCTCCTTTCCAGTAGCCCTGTGGGTTTGGGTTGCTAGAGTCTAGTCTTACAGAGCTGGGCCGCACACGAGTTAGACTGCGCTTGGTAAAGTTCACCAGCTCCTCTGGGCTCTCACTGGCCAGCCGTCCTGCCTCTCCTTCCCCAAGAGAGCACAGGGTCCAGTAAGGGGGGTCAAGGGTCATAGGTGTACCTGGTGTAGAAGGAGTGGAGGGGGGAGAATGCTGCTGGGATGGCTGTGTACTCGTTCGGTGAGCATAAAAGTTGCGACTTCCAGTGCGAGCCACTGCGATGAGATCGGACAATTCACGCCGCAAGCGGAGGCGCCTTGGCTGTGGGGGTGGGGGAACAACAAGGACTACCCCCAGTTCTTCTTCCCCAGGGATAGTCATCCTTCTTCCAGCCAGAGGACCACCGCCACCAATCTCCTCATCCTCCTCAGATATCTCTCCTTCAGAACCTTCCACTTCTGGGGGCAGCTTCTTTCCGACAAGAAGCACCTTTCCCTTTAGCTGCTCTGGAGAGGGCAAAATGGTTGCACGACCTCCCAGACTGACAGGAAGAGATTCAGGGGTATAGAGCTTGGGTCCAAAAACCTTTTTTAGATGTTGTGCAAGAGTACGTTGCTGGGAAGGTGAGCAATGCTGGCATAGATACAGCAGCAGAGGATACTGAGAGGTGAGAAAAGCATACTTGTTGACTACTTCCAGGGCACTACGCAGAGTAATAGAACCATGATGGTGATGGTGGTGATGATGGTGGTGGTGATGATGCTTTCCATCTGTACCATGGTCTACACCCAATAGTGGCTCCCCTTCTGGCCCATCGGTAACCCCTAGCTCCAGACACCGACAGCCAATCTGCAGGGCTCGAATGAGACCCCCAAGATCAGCCCGGCCATGCACTTGGTCATCCAGCAGGTAGGAGCGGTAGGAGGCACTGATGAAATAATGAGAAAGGGGCATCTTCATGTCCTGGCACACATTCTGGTGCTCAGGGTCTAACAACTGGCACTCAGCTGACTGTAGGTAGCGTGTAAATCCATCCAAGCCCAGTAGACCTCGCTCACGCCCAGCTGCAGAGGGCTCAAAGCGGCAAAAAAGCTCCAAGCAGCCCTCAGTGGTGGCCAATGACAGACCTTGCTCAGTTTCCAGGAAAAGACGCAGGTCCTGGGCATCAAGGCACTCTCGGTCTTTAGAGAGTTGCACTAGCAAGAAATAGACATCAGGTCGCGTACACAACTCGCAGTAGGCTTCCTGGAATTCTTCCAGCGTAACATGAGAAGTTAGCTTCTCTTTGCTCCGCTGAATCTCCTTAAAGCGCAATCGCACCTGATAAAAAGAAAAAAAGAAAGAGTTGTATTAATGTGTTTTAGTATACATTTTTGTATTGTCAGCACTTTTATTGATAACACTTTAAGATAGAAACCCAAACTTTGTTATTTTAACCCCTTAACTGTCACCCCCCATTTTTTTAATAGGCATGCAGGTGCACTATCCAAACTTAAATTGTTGTAATTTATGAACCCTTTGGAATACAGACATAAGTATGGTCTCATTTTAAAGAAGAAAATCAGCAGAAATCTTTTTGAAAACAAATTAAAGTATCAAAAAGTTATGGTAGTTTAAATTTACTGTAAAGAAAATGCACTATATCAATTTTATTTTATTTTATATATAATAAATATTTTACATAACAGGTTTTACTCTAAAGTTTGTATAAAATTAAAGCCTTATGTCTAAATAAGTTATGTTCCAAATTTGAAGTTGATATGAAAAAAATTGAGGTTCCTGTGAGATTTTATTTAGGGTGTTATACCACAAACAGCCACCGGGTGCCATCCAAACTCTATTAAATTTTTAATGCATTGCTCTGTCACAGAGGTTTTAAAAATTGATGGTTGTTTTTTCATACTAACTAACGTATATGGTCATAGAACTGTTGCCCAAAATAAACAAATGCTTGAAGAAATTGCAAACACTTTATCAGAGCTCAACAGACACCTGACGAATGGGAAGACAGATGGCCCACTAAATTTGACAGCTACCACTTTAACCAGACAATAGGGGAATTTATGAATAAAAATCACCTGATAGATATTTGGAGAAGTTTAAATTCAGGAGTAAAACAATATTCCTGGCTTAAACCTAATAACACCTGTAAATCCAGGATTGACTACTGGTTTGTGGATTACTCGTTTAGAGAATTTGCCTCAGACATCTTGATTTCCAAAGCCCCGCTAACAGATCATTGTATTGTAGAAATTAAATTAAATCCAGTTGATAGAATAAGGAAAAATAAAGGTTACTGGAAATTTAATTCTGGTCTGTTAAAAAATAAAGAATATTGTACAAAGATAAAAGAAATAATAATTGAAATTGAAAATAATGAGACTATAAATAGTCTTTGCAGTAAATGGGAATTTGTAAAATACAGAATTAGAGAAAGTTCCATAAAGTTTAGTAAGAAGATTGCCTTGGAAAAAAGAAGAGAAGAATGTAACCTGTTCCAAGAAATTAGTAAATACTGTGATAAGGCAGTATTAAACAGTGAAGATAAAGACAAACTATTGATATTGCAGTCCAAATTAGACGATATGTATTGCAAAAGAGCTTAAGGTGCAATTGTGAGATCGCAAGCAAAGTGGCTCGAGCAAGGAGAAAAGAACACCTCGTACTTCAGCAATTTAGAGAAGAGAAGACGGGAAAATAAGGCAATATCAAGTTTACTGATAAATGGAGCAGAGTGTAAGGATAATAAAACTATTGAGAAGACAGTTTTCACATTTTATAATAATCTCTACACTTCTGCATATTCCCAACTAGATTCCTCAAATTTTCTAAATAGTATTAAAGACTTCATACCCAAGATTGATGATTCAATTAAAGAACTTTGTGAGTCAGATTTAAGAATTGAAGAACTGGATGATGTGAGTTTGGGATTATCATTGAATAAATCCCCGGGTACCAACGGGCTCACAGCCGAATTTTATAGATTCTTTTGGAAAGATATATTTGGAAGACGTTTGTTATTTAAGGCAATTCAAGAATGTATTGCAAAGAACGAATTAATGACAACCATGAAGCAAGGCATAATAATACTTATTCCTAAACATGGCAAAGACAAAAAATTGT